CGCCCCTCCCGTTATCGATACAAACCGGTATTAATGTAGCGCTAAGCTAGCAGGCGGGTAACATAGACGTGACTACCCCAGCCCATCGTCGATAAAAACGGGTAGCAACATAGCACTAAGCTAACCAGTGGGCAAACCAGACGCGACTCTGTTCCGCCCCTCCCGTTATCGATACAAACCGGTATTAATGTAGCGCTAAGCTAGCAGGCGGGTAACATAGACGTGACTACCCCAGCCCATCGTCGATAAAAACGGGTAGCAACATAGCCAGCAACATAGCACTAAGCTAACCAGTGGGCAAACCAGATGCGACTTTGTTACGCCCCTCCCATCATTGATGAAAACCAGCATCAACGTAGCGCTAAGCTAGCAGGTGGGCAACACAGACATGATTCCGTCCTATCCTCCTCCACCCCAGTAGACAAAAATAAAATACGATGAGCTCCCCATCAAGGGAGCTGACCTAGAGGAAACACCGTACGCCATAAAGGAAGTTTCACGGACGTGAAACGTAAATCTGTCAATCTGCGTTCGATTACCCCGCGGCTTTCTCAAGGACCTGGATGTGCGACACAAAAAACTGAATTTTGGAATTAAAATTGAATTCTAGAACTGAAAATGAAAAAAAAAGTCAAACTGAATTTTCAATACAACCAAATACAGTTTCTGAGCAAATGAATTCAGTTTCAAAGCATTAAATTCAGATTCAATTCAATGAAATTCATGTTCATACCAGTGGATTTAATTTCAGATTACGTGAATACAGATTCAATCTGAGCGACTCAAATTCAGTTTCTGCCCATAGAAAAGCATCGGTGATTGGACTGAATCCAGGATCTCGCCGAGCCACTTTCAGACCCAACGCTCGACTCTGCAGCCGGCGGCCGTCCAGAGTGACGGACGATCCAGGTCCCCTCAACTAAAACCATAACAGGAAGTGACAGAACGTTCTGAAAGTCGTGCGGCTGCGATGGTTGTTTTCCAAACAATATGAGCGCCTACAGGTTTTTTTATATTTCTATCGTCCTCCCTGTCTTTAACAATCCAAAGCTAATACAACCCTATTTCTAGGAAATGTTAGGTCAAGTATAAAAAAATGATCAGATTGTTGTGATGCGCTCGATTCTCCTGGAGAAAAGTCGCTCGGTGTGTGAGAAGAAAACCTTAAACATCCAACGGGTTTGTAACTTTGGGAACCAGAACCTCAGGGAGGGAAAAAGAAGGATCTCAGTTGAGCTACATTCATCCCCCCTCCTCCCCGTTTCAAGTCCACCACATGTGGCTTCCTCTCGGTGTAATCAGACAGTAAGTGTCACTTCATTTAGTCGAGTACCCCCCCCCCCCCCCACACACACACCCCCGGCTTCCTGTGAACAGCTGTGTGACAGTGTGCGCAGTATGATCCAGTACAGCTGAGTACAGTACAGTAGACCGACGTGTTCGTAGGTAGATTAAATGTTGACTACAGTGAAGGAGTTTTTTTACATTCCACTACTGTAAGGAGATCCAGGAGGACCCCCCCTGAGAGGGATGTCTTTCTCGATTTCTGTCCAGCGCATAAAACGAGGTTTCCCCAGGAGCCCCGTTTGGCTCGACGGAGAGGCCTTCAGCTTCTGGTGGGGGAGGATGCCAAAGCTGCGGTCCAGATCGGGGCTCGGGGCTCTCACACAGTGCACAACAGTCTTTAATACTCTCGGTAAAAGTTTCATCTGAACATCGTTTACGTTTAGATCACGAGGAGCTCCGAAACGGGAGTCGAGCGTGCTCCGCCCTTGGACTCAGGGCTTCTTGTCGATGGAGTGAAAGAACCACTCGGTGAACTTCCTGAGCTGAGCCGCGGCCGTCTGGCTCTCCTCCTGCAGCCGCATGTTGTCCTGCCTCAGGTGCTGCACCTCCTCCTGCAGCATCGCCTTGTCCTCCTTCTCCTGAAGACGCACACAGAGCCAAAATGGAGACGTGAGGCAAGAAACTGAACGGGTACGAAGGAGCTGATAAGTGCCCCGCTATTACAAGAACATCTGTCTTTCATGGTGTAAACGAGAGGCAGTGAAAGGCGGAGCAGCCTCCTCTGTTCTGACAAACGTGCACTTCCTCCACCTCATTTTCAACACTTTGGTGGAGGTGGGGGCGTGTCGGCTCTGGGATACAATAAGGAAAGGAAGCAGGATATCAAATTAAGTGGATGTGTTTGTATTACGCAGACCTCGAGGCACCCATTACTCACTGTCAGGACACAGACATGCACGTTTGCCTGCGTATATACACTGTATATATAAAAACACACACAAAGGAACCACAAAATGTATAGAAATTAGCGATACACGAGAACTCGCCTTTCTGAGGTCGTGCTGCAGCTGCCTGAGGATCACCTCCAGCTGGTTGACTTTACCGGTCAGTGTGGACGGAGAACTGCTGCTGGTTTAGAGAGAGACATGAAGAAGGTGAGCTTAAAGCAAAATAACTGAACTTGTTGTGACATAAATCAAACGTGCGTTCAGAACTGAGGGATCTGAACAGTGGATGTTTGTAGTTTTCCAGACGAGTGTTTGTCTGGACTGGAACTGAACGGGGAACGTGAGTAAACCTTCATGTTCTTGGTGTAAGTGGGTAGAAGAGAAGAACGGAGGTAGTTTTTTTGTTTTTCTTGTCAGACGCGGTGCAGTGACGCGTCCTGGGAAGAGGAGGGAGCAATTATTCTACCACCAGGTGCAGAGGTGGAGCCAGGGGGAGGCCGATGGTGGCCTTGGCCCAAATAGATCAACTTTCAGCCACCCCAAACATTTGAGGAAACTACACTTTTAATCAATATAGAAACTAGAAAGCATAGTTTTATCAAATAATAGGGTTGGCCGGTTTACATACACAGTAGTCCCTCGATAATTTGCGGTTCGACTTTCGCGGACTCACTGTTTCGTGGGTTTTCAACTTAAGATCGTACAAGACACATGACTGTCAACTTTAATATTACTCACATGACTGGGACGGTAGGGGATAAAAACGGGAGCAGGAACCAACCAATAGGGCAAAAATCAAAACAAAACAAAAAAATACTTCAAACAGGCACCGCCATTTTGTAGTTTTCTTTCACTTAGCCTACACTGTAACGCAAGTCAAAAGAACTACACTACCCAGAAGCCAACAGTGCTTCCGGCAGCTGCTTTGTGCTGAAATTCAAAGAACAGCAATGGAGGGAGCAAACATTAGCGGAGAAACCGATGTGGTAAAAATAGTTTTGCAACACAAAGTCAGAAGTAACGATGCATCTATGAAGCTCACAGAACTGGCAGGAAAGTCTTTAAATAATCCTGAAGCTGAACGCATCCTTCAGGTTGTAGCATCTTCACTGCTGAGTACCCATATAAAATTCTGCAGTACTATACAGTACATATACGTATGTTGTTAAAATGATGTAGATTTAAGAGTTTAGAACAATGCAAGAGTGTGGGAAGGGTTTATAAAGCCTTAAAATATTTATAAGTACTAAAATATAACGTCCCTACTTAGCAGATTTTCACCTTTCGCA